CCTACTCAGCTGTCAGTTCTTAAATTGCCATAAACAATCTTGTGTGACTAAGTTAATAATCAGTATAAAACTTTTTTGCTGCTTACCATTGTGCTAGATATAGTTGGTCCTGTCCACGAGAGAACGTATCTTCAAAATTTAACAAATATGCAAGTTACGCGACTACATTTTCTATCACAGAGTACTACATCATTTTATAATCATTTCATTAATAGTGCAGTTCATTTATTTATAGATGTGGATCTGTAGGATTTTGATAAAATGACAAAATATGATTGTTTTTGCGATTTACATAGCCAGATTAATATATGCTTATGCTTCTATGTACACATACGAATGTATTCAAACTATTCACTGTCAGCCTTTTTAAATTCACTGAAGCACTCAAATTAATGCTGACTACATGTCTTCTTTTTCCGTTTTCTATGCTCCTCTCTTCGTGAGATATGTCTAATCGCGGCGTTTTTTCCGCTTAAGCGTGACCATACTACTTTGTATGTTTAGCCTTGCTACAAAAAAGGTGATCGCCTTGATTCAAGAAACTTCTTAAATGTATGATAATTTGACGGGCTGTCGGATCAATATTTATCGAGCCAACTTTAGAGTAATCAAGTATTAAGAATACTTCATTGTATTTAGCCAAGCTCAAATGTAAGAATTTATTAATTCTTTACTGGAATCTTACTGCTCTTTAAATTTGGATCCCCCTTATTGTATACTCTAATCTGTAGGCTATCAAGAGGCCAAATTTATGTACCACATGCATATGTTAAGTAAATATATATTTGACGAAACCTTATCGTGTCTGGTACTATCCCCTTTTGGGCCAATAACGATGTTGATCTGAAAATCTTTTAAAGAATGCTGGTTATTTTGTGAAAATTGAATGATCTTGTATGCCCCGTTATGATGAGTCCTGGATCCAAAGTAGAACAAAAGTCTATTCTTGGATTGGAACCATTCTACGCATTTCTCCTTTAGCCGTTGGTAATGGTGCCGGCTTGGCCTGCAATTTCAGAGACACGATAGGGCATACTGGGTTGCTCTTGACTTACAACACTAGTTTCAGCCTCGTTTAGCTACAATCGACGCTAAAATTGAGGACTTGTGTTCAGTTCGAACCAAGTCTTTCCGTCGCACTTTTGTGCTCGACTAGGCCTCAGCTCCCCCAGCAGGATTGGGTACCGGATCATGAGTATCGTTGCGATGTTACCACTGCATTCCGCTATGCAGCCACGGACATTTCGGGTTTCTAAATGTAAGAAGCGTGGCCAAACACTCTATTCTGAGGTTGTTCTTGGGCAGCCGGATAAGCAAATCGTCATGGAAATTCGGCGTTATGGCCAAAATGTACTAGCAATCCATTTGAGATGCAGCATGCGACCAGAGATAGGCGTCCACAGTTTGCTCAGATAACATGGGTTTAATCAAGGAGAGGATCCGTGAACGGAAAGCCTGATCTCTGCAAGCATGGGAATCAGAGCTTAGGTGCTCTGCTCAGTGAAGCGGCAGTTTACGTACTCTTAGGGCCTTGAGAAATAGCGCCTAGAGTGAAATGCACACTGGGACTGGAACCGAGTGAAATCGGTCAACCAGAAAAATAAGCAACGGATCTACGAAACAATGAGGGGATCCGGGTTGGAGGCCCGAGTCGGATGAGCCGAGCAAAAGGGAGAGGGTCTGGGTAAATAGCAAGTGTGATGAGGCCACATTAGATTTGCCACAAAGGGCACATTTTGACGAATATTAAATAAAAACGATATTCACTTGTCTCTTTGACGAGTTGTAATATGGTGCTACAAATGGCGAGAATCACTGACGATGCCGGCGAAAAATCTGGGAATGTACCACGTCCACGGTCCTACTCTGAAAATGATGCTGCATACAATGGACTCCGGACTAGGTGCGTTCCTCTAAGTCTTCCTACCAATATGACCAAGTTGAGAAAACATGGTCAAACAACGTCCATATTCACTCAAATTGCATTATATGAGAAAGGACTGATATTTGAATTTTCCGCAATCACATGCATAGGTCTCAGTTTCAGTGTAGCCCGATACTCTAAAATAACATTTATTGTGTAACTCGTGTAAATTTATATTGGCCGTCAAACTATGTTTATTCTATACACTGATTAAGTCGGCCTTGAAACGGTCACTAGATTTTAATAAGAATTTAAATAAACTTAGGCCTCTTTTTGGTAGCTGATTGGTTGGAAAATTTGCTCAATCCCCTGCTGGAAACATATCTTCCATGTCTTCCATCACATTACGCAATCTAAGGTTACTATAGTTTATTTATTAACTCTACCGATTTTTCATAATCTATTGTTCAATTTTTATAGCACATTCTCCATTAATGACTATTAAAATAGCCTAGACTCATTTTTAATTTTATACGATTTACTTTAGCACACTTATTGAACTGGACCTTCCTCTCTTTCTTCATCTACCTATAAGGAGCTTATTTTAGGAGTTTGGAATTTAAAGCTGCAAATTATTATTAGATTATTTGTTTTAAATTATCAAGATATCAAGCCTTTTTGTAGAAATTTGCTAGTTAAAAATTATCATGATTTATATTTTTTTAATTTAGTTATCGTTCTTCTGGCGAATTTCGTGGTCTTGCCTTTCTTGAATTTGAAACTAGTAGTGCTGCTCATGCCGCACTGACTGCCTACCGTATTTCATCTGAAGCCCCTTCGATAAAATCTGGCTTGGAGTATGAGTCTCATTCTCAGACAAATCGATTTCATCGGCAACACATGAAATACAAGCAACACACTAAACAGCCAATTGATTCTCCACATCAGGTCCTGATAACAGAACATAGGTCAGAAGCAACCACAAGCCAAGTGCATGATAAAATAAAAACCGAAAAAGGTATCATCTATTTATCATACTATGCTCCATCCCTATTCCTATTCATAGACAAACATTTGTGCTAATTAGTGATAGTTTCTAAACCTACTTTATGATATGCAATGCCATTACTACTACTATTACGCTCTATTACGAATTGTCCTCCAATTATTGTATTATTTACTGAGCGAAATGTGCATTTTCCGAGAATTTGATTAGTGTTTGTTTCTTACTATTAATGAGATGTATTCACCCTATTTCGTCTAAGGTGATAAAGGACTGGTAGTAGAATTTTCCCACAATGCTATGAGTTGAGCTGACGTTTTCCATTGAATTTCACATAGCCTTGCTTTCCCAAAAGTTGTTCTTATCCAGGATGGACTGCAGTTTCGACCTCGCATCGGTCTTATCAACACCCTCAGTGGAAGTCGAACCGCGACAGTGCAGGACTTTAGCTTGACACGCTAACCACTCGGCTACACTGCCACGGGTACCTTTGAGTCACAGGAAGATTTAGAGAAACGCACATTGTCCGGAGTTTATTGTATGCCTTATCATTTCCAAAGTCGGACCGTGGACGTTGTGCATTCCCAGACGTCTCGCCCACATCGTAGTCGGCATCGTCAGTGAGTTTTGTCATTCATAGCACCGTATTACAACTCATCAAAGAGACAAGTGAAGCCGATCATTTGACTAAACGTATGCTAAACAGTTATGGTATCTCCCCTTGTGCCATGGCTTATTCACATTTCATATATTCTCCTATCACACCTTCACTGTCACCATTTTTTTACTTGCTTAATTAAATGTGTTACAGTGTGCTCTTTTGAACGGCTTTCATCAGAACCCTCTACATTTCCGGTTGCATCCTATCATGCCTTTACTATTACAATTTTTACCGTGTTTATTTAGATAGTGTGGTGTGCTCCTTAGAGCGACATGACATCTTTACACTCCAGCTCTCGTTCTCACCCCCCCTTCATCTTTGTGCA